TCTTCTATGTTTGTTGTTTCTATACTTATTTTATCTACTTCTAGTTTTTGTTCATCAGAATTATTGCTTGTCTCATTGCTTTCTTGTTTTAGAATATATTCTATTTTCTCAATTTCTTTATATATTGCTACTCTTCCAATTACTTTTCTCTATTCTCTTGCTACTATAACTACTTCACTTTCTACACCTATTATTCTTGCTACTATCTTGTCTACATATTCTTTAAATTCTATTATAGACTTATTTACTTTAGCTAAAATTTCTTTACTATATTCTTTAGCTATTTTCTTAGTTATTCTTATTATTTCTTCTCTGTTCTATATCTTTTTATTAACTATCTGATCTATATATTTGATGCTATTTTCTATATCTACTAATAAGAACTAGATTTTTATTTAAAATTTTTTAAGTAACTTCACCTTTTTCCTAAAATTCTCTGGGTTTTTTTCTCTTTGCTAGTAAATTGTTTAGTTTTGGTTATACATATTTGATTTCTAGTTGATGCTACATAACATATAAAATTAATTTAAGATGCATTTGTTTGTTTACTTTTTTTCATGTGATTATGTTACATGAAGTAATCTACAGTACAAAGTATTCACAGTTTCTACTTTTTGTTAATAAAAAGTTTTTGATACTCTAAATTATATTTAATCTTCTTCTAGCTTTTCTGTTTTCTGTTTAAATTCTTTTTTTTTTAGCTTAGATATATGTATTTTTGTAGTTTTTTTTCTTTTTCTTAAGGGCTTAACTATTGTTTCTTAGTAGAAAATTGGTGTTTTTTTAAGTTTTTTCTTCTGCTCCAAAAATAGTTGAAATAATTAATGGAGAGAGTGTATTAGCACTTAGCCTTCTTTAAATAATTCTCACTACTAGTTTTCTAAAAGTTTTTAGTAGCATTATAGGTCAGGTACTAGCAAAATTAAATTTCTAGTTCATGCTTTTAGAAATTAGATAAATTTGTTTTAATTTCTATTTTTGGAAAAATATCCTTCATCTATTATTCTATTTACAAAAGCTATAAAATGTTTTGTTATTTCTAGGCTTATTTTTTCAAAAGTCTGTACCTAATTTCTGATATTCTAGAAGCAGTATCTTCTTTAAGGATTGTAAATTCTTTAAATGAATAATAGAATTAAAATTTATAAATAAAAATAATATTATATAATTTTAAATACTTACTAATTCTCTATCTAATAATCTTTTTAACAAATAAAGATCAATTTTTCTTTAAGCTGATAAAAAAGATGTAATTCTTTAAATTTTTATTTTGAATATCTAATAAACTAAACTTCATTTAAATTTTGATTTAATTTAGATAATTTTTTAACTACTAAATTTCTATTACAATTTCTATTATTAAATAGACAAACTAGATCATTATTAAGCAATGCTAAATATTTCTATAAATTTAATTTATTAATAATTAATTTAAATTATAAAATTATAAATAAAAAAATAAAAAATATTTATTTATAAGTTTTTGCTTCCTTATTTCTTTGAATATTAGCTAATTCATTTGTTAATTGTACAAGATTATTATCTATATCTACTTCTAAATGAAATTTGTTTTTAATATTTTGATTTAAGTTTTCACAAACTTTTACACCTTGACATGTATAATATGATCTTTTAACAGAAGTTTTAAGAAAAAGAAAATAGATAACTGTATCACTACTTCTATATGGTCTTCTAAGTTTATATTGAATCTATTAAAAAATTATTAATAATTTATTAAAAAAATATAATAATTATTTAAAATTACTAACATTATTTATATATGCTTCAAAACTATCCCATGCTTCAATATTATAAATAATTGCAATTCCATCTTCTGAAGTAAGTGGATATTCCATAGATAAAACAGTATGAATAATTTCTTTAACTCTTAATTGTTCAGTAATCATATATATTTCTTGATTCATTTGATATTCATTATTATTTTTAAGACTGATTATAATAGGTGTTTATAAAAAATAAAATTATAAACTTTAATTAAATTAAAATATTTATTAAAAAAATATTAATAATTAAATTAGTTACACTTGTTGATAAATGTTTATCATATTCATTAATGCTTTCTTCAAAAGTATCAAATTCACTTTGAAAATCACTAATTGAGATATTATCTTCAGAGCTTATATCCTTTATTGTACTATTAGAATATAATTCATCATCTGGTTCAAAGTTAATAAGTATATTTATATCCATCAATATTTGCAAAGTGATACTTTATTTTTAAAAATAAAATTAAATAAAATTAATCATATAAAAAATCATTTTTATTTAATATTTAATTAGCTATTACATAATTTAAAATTGATATTGATATCAATATATTGTTCCTTACATATTAATTATCTACATGAATAAATTTAAAAAATTAAAAATTAAGAAAGACATTACTAGTCTTGAATTTAGATTTTTTTTTTTTTTTTTTTTTTTTTTTTTATTTATTTATTTATTTAATATGTTAAATGAATTTAGATTTTTTAAATTAACTAAATACTAAATATATATTAATTTATTTTATGATAAGCTTATCAAAAAATGAATTTGGCTTATGCTAAACTTGACAAAAAATAAATTTTCTTAATGTCAGACTTAGTAACTGAATTCATATTATGCTAAGTTAGCATAAAACAAACTAGATATAATTAACTATAGTTGTAATTTTAAAATTTTAGACACATTTGAAAATAAAGTATAACATTATTTCTTAGTTTTATAGTATTATTGTTTTTTTTTACTTATGTTTATCAATATTTATATATATAATTAGTTTAGATTTTTATAGTTTCAATTTAACTAGTTATTGGTGCTACTGGAATTAAATAACTTGAGGATTTATTTTAATTTGTTTAATATTTAAAAAAATTTATATCGAAAAATATATATTTGATTGAATTAATGAATAGAATCAGCTAGCTTATCAGAATCGAATCAATAAGTTAATAGTAGTCCATGATCAAAATCAAATCAGCTGGCTTATCGGAATTGAATCAATAATATAAAGTTAATAGTAGTCTATGATCAGAATCGAATCAGTTAGCTCATCGGAATTGAATCAGCAAGGTTGCACTCACTCTAAAAGATTACAAAAAGAACCCACCAACAAACTACAATACCAAAAACTAATGAAAAAAAAACCATGACTAAGAAGATATAAGTGTCAAATGGCGACGCCAGAAGAGCAGTGGTGACTAAAAAATAGAAATGTTAGTAAAATAAAAAATAACCTCCGAAAAAATGAGACAAGCAATAATTCTGATGAACAAAAACTAGAAGTAGATAAAATAAGTATAGAAACAACAAACATAGAAGA